TTTGAAATTGCTCGGGCCTGTGCAAAACCCGCCACCTCAAAAACCTGCAGTGTCTTGTGTCTGGACCTCTAGGCCATGTCCGGCCGGGTGAAAGGACACTTAAAAATCACCCCGTTATTTTTCGAGGGACAGCTAGGACCCGACAAACGTCCTGGGCCGCCCCATTTTTTGTTTTGATTTTTGCCCCAAGGGCCTCCATCCGGACATGGGGACCGGACACTGGACACCGGACACCAGACTGTCTGGAACCTGGTCCGGACGTCCGGGCGGTTACCATGGGTTGAACCATAGGGACATTTTTTTTTTCCTTCTTCTTTTTTTGGCACCAATGCCAACCAACAAAGAAAAGATAGGCTGCCACAGCTATTTGAGCCACAGGGCCTTCCTGTACTCGGTGTCATCTCGAGAGTCGAAAGGTCATAGGAAAAGCACTCTCAGACTTACCCAGCCCACGCGGGGGCTGAGTGATACACACAGGTAACTGTTAATAACTTAAAACTTAAAAGTTAATATACTTTTCTAAGTTTCTAATTAGTAATATCAATTTGTACTAGATGACCAGAAGGGGCTTCAAAGCCCACAATAACATAAGACTTCAGATTAGTTTGGACTCTGGAGATCGCATGGCACCACAGTAATCTTCCTTTCCAGATTTTCCGCCTCGCAATTGTCTCTTCTGCTGTTGCAATAATGCCAAGGAATGCCAATAAATCATTGTAAATGCCAACGAGTTACAATAACCGAATATTTTTGAAAGTTGAAGTTTGCAGCGAAGGTTTTCATGCATGCTCTTGACTTTGCACTAGTCCATCGCCGATAAGGCAATGATGATGACAACAAGAAACTTTGGCTGTTCACCCAGTTGGCCAGCTGTTGATAGTGGATAAGCCTATAAGGCCGTGATGATGAATTGCTGACTTCCATTACTGCTGCCTCTAGTAGAACCGTGTGGTCAGTACTGTACAGCCAGTCTACTGACCTGCCAATCTACGGTATGATTCAGGTCTTCACTTATCTGTACGGTTGGATCCATCCCATAGTGGTACTATACTACTCGGTCCACAAAAAAAACAAAAAGGGTGGGTTGGTCCTCTGGTGACTGCAGGTTCCCCATGACTCTGCTTTACAGAGAAATCGACTGGGAAACCAGGAAACGACAAAAACTTCCGAAAAAGAAAATTAAACTAAATTTCAATGCCAGCCGGAAATGATTTGCATGAAGTAGAGCCATAAGGTTCTGTTTTTCTTTATTAAAAAAAAAGAAATTAAAAAAGAAATTAAAAAAGAAAAATTGCATGAAGTATTTGCCTGTTGGACAACTGGTACACACCTAAAACTCACAATGAAGGTCATCGGCGGCGGCTGAGTAGGATGCAACGTTGGGGCATGTGGACGCTGATCTTTCACGAGGCGCCTACCCTGCCAGGAGGCACCATAGCTGTGTGAGAGCTATGGCGACAGTGCACTGGCGTAGCCTAGCCCTTGGGTGGGTAGGGAGTGCCTTGCACTCTTACGCCATGGCATCCTGGCAGCTCCACACTCCACACCTGACCTCTATATCAACCTTTATACCTAATAGGATCTCGACATCAGAGGAGCCGTCCTCCCCTCAAGCCTTTGTTGGAAAGGGGGGGTTCCTTTTTCACCATCCAAAGGCCCTGCGCTGCATGACACGCCATCTCGACTGCCTCGGTCATTAGGAAAGTATGGAAGGCGGAGCGGCACATCTGGACGCAGTGGGAGAGCGTGCGGCTACGGTGGCAGCGCTTCGGCATGTCCAAGGGCGACAGCAAGTCTCGGTTGACCTATCTTGGTCGCAAGGCAGTTTGATGTCCATTTATTTCATGCTCTGTTTTATTCACTTAAATTGGTCGTTGCTTTCGTCCCCTACGGTCTGCTTAGTTTTCCGTTCCCGGTTCTTGGTGTAGTTTAAAGGCCTTTGTATTGAGTTCTTAGTACCTAGGGTAGATTCATTGCAAACTGTGCTATCTGCCGCTCGAAGATTTATGTTGTAGGCACTTGGTTCTCGTATTTCGTCATGTATAGATATATCTATATATGCATGCTATTAGATACGTTTCTCGTTTCTGCATATCTGGGTCTCTTTCTCGGAATGGTTAACCGTTTGTTCTTGCCCGTTTATATTCCGTCTCTCTCGATGCAGTATGTTGCCTCTTGGTGGAGTGGTTTGGATTGCGCTTGAATCTCGCTGCTATATTTCCCTGTTGTGGTTGGGAATTCAACATAAATATTGGTATATTCCGAGGAGTATATACACGTAGTTATATATATTGATATGAAGGGGAGTATAAATAGGAAAACGATTAGGAATATATAAGTGAATGTGGGGTGTGGGGTCTATTAAAGTGGGGTTTGATGCTCGCTTAACTTCTTAGCTTTTCAGTAACTATTGGAGTAAATAGCATAGGGTGCACGCTCGGCGTTCTAGGCAATACTAGTTGTGGTGCTACCGAAAACAGTGACAGTAAAAAAGGGACGACACCTCTGCTGGGTACGTAAAGTCCTGAAGTCATATGGGCGGCGGCGCCATCAGCAGGAGTGGGCGACTCACTAGTGGCAGTGGGAATGTTTCCTGGACGCAAAGGGTTAAACTTTCTCCAGCTATAACCGCATTAAAAGACACAGTGAGTTCACCTTTTAAGAGTTGCTGATCTCCAACAGCAGGACCAGTGACACAGAGTCTCCCATGCCTTGAGTGGTGTGGGGAGTGTCTTCCACTCGACTGTGCGCATCTGGAAAACCCAGCTCATATTTTCCTCACTCGTATATTCTGTGGGCGCGGTTATCTATCTGTACCTCCCATTGAAATTTCCTTGGATTCCTTCATGTGGCCGTTCCTTTGGCAGTTTTCAGTCGTCTATTTTCTGTAGATAATATTAATATGCCTAGTGGCCCTAGTTTCAATTCCTGTTAAGATCAATTTAGTACGCATGTGGACTGAACCTCTGCTGGGTATGTGAAGCCCTCAAGTCCTATGGGCGGCGGCGCCATCAGCAGAAGTGGGAGACTCCCTAGTGGCGGTGGGAACCTTTCTCGGGCACTAAGGGTGAAACATTTTCAGCCATAACCGCGTTCAGAGACACAGTGACGTTCACCCTTCAAGAGTGGCTGATCTCCAAGAGCAGGTTCAGTGACACAAGGTCACCCATGCCTTGAGTGGTGTGGGGAGTGTCTTCCGCTCGACTTCGTGCCGTCTGGAAAACCCGGCTCATATCTTCCCCACTCGTATATTCTGTGGGCGCGGTTATCCATCTCTCCCTCCTTTTGAATTCCTTGGGAATCTCTATATGTGGCCGTCTTCTTGGCTGTTTTGAGTCTCTATTTTCTGTAGACAATATTAATATTTAATTCGGTCAAGATGAGTTTAATACGCATTTGGACTAAATTTTAAACTGTTCTGCTTTTAAGAATTTAGCATGTTCTTGGAAATAATTTTAGGGTTGAATAACTTGAATTGTAAAATTTTCGTGAGAGAGAGAGAGAGAGAGAGAGAGAGAGAGAGCTGTCTCTTATACACATCTAGATGTGTATAAGAGACAGGTGTGTGTGTGTGTGTGTGTTTTTGTGTGAGAGAGAGAGAGAGAGAGAGAGAGAGAGAGAGAGAGAGAGAGAGAGAGAGAGAGAGAGCTGTCTCTTATACACATCTAGATGTGTATAAGAGACAGGAGAGAGAGAGAGAGAGAGAGAGAGAGAGAGACCTAAAGAATCGTAAAGATCTCAGTAAGAGATAGGCCTTGAGTAGAGGGAATCTGCCCTAATTGTTCTCCATTTACTCACCTTTGCCTTGACAAGCAAGAACAGTTTTTCACATGTTGAGGAAATGAAGGATGGGAGGAGGCAAGAAGATACAGTGAGGGGGCATAATGAAGGGAAGTTTCTACGTGGTCGAGCGACTGCCGCTTTGAATCTCAACGCACAGAAAGTCTGAGGATGCCACCATATTGCATGCATCCGTGAAGCTGACTATATTCTTCGGCAAATCTTTCGGCTGTTAAACTAAAAACCAGCACCATCTGGGAGGGAGGTCCACCTTTTTCCCAACGCGGGGACCACAAAAACAGGTCCGAACTCGCCTCTTTCGGGGTACGGTTCCCACTGTGCCTATCTACCATTTCGTGAAACCACAGCCAAGGGAATGGGCTTGGAAGAATCGGTGGGGAAAGAAGACCGTGTTGTCTTAATTTTTTAAAAAGAAAGAAACCGGTACGGTACCAAAAGAGATAGACTATTATCTGGGAGGACCTCCAAATAATTCGGCTATGCAGGTCAGGTCCGACGGTAGTGGCGGGGTTTAATAGCCTCGTATGAGCCTTGTCGCATTTCCACTTCCATAGACTTGAGGGTGCCACAAGGCTGGACCCTATTATCTTCATGATGTTCTCCCCCTGTGCACTCCAGGGGGCGCCAACTCAATCTGGAAAGAGAATGAGAGGGGAGGGGATGGTAAGTTTCTCCCGTAATGGTCACGAATGAAATCCTCCAGTCGACGAAGCCAGCTCCTGCCATACTTGCTCCTCAAAAATTTAGGTATGACTCAGCCCATCTGGCTGAATGGTGGTACACACCTCCATTTCTTAATAAACAGGTCGCAAGCATGAATCCTAATCCTAATGGAATCAGGTGGATAGAAGAAGGTTAGTTGGGCATGAGAGAATCAGAGGACAGCTTGACCCTGGAGAGATGAGATCAGGTCCTCAACTCCACGCTTCCCTTTTCCGAGTAAGCAAGCTTGAGAAGCTTCAGGTTCTGAGAGTCTCTGAGCTTACACCACCACCAGTATTGTGGGGCCGCCTGGCCCCTGCGCCATGCCATTTAACCAACCAAGGGTCATGGTGAGGCTCAACCTGTGGGAGAAGGCTGGCTGGCCCTGATACCCCCCCCAACCCCACAATATATCTCAATATAGTCCAGGGCAGGCAAAATCGTGCACCAGCAAAACGACGCTTGGGCACAGGTGCAATTACGGTTCTGTCTTTAGGATTTTGAGGGTTTCGAGTCTGTTTACGCTTATTGGCGATTACGATCTAAAAGGTTGTTGAGAGCTTGGACATGCATCAGTCCCTTTTTGTATCCGCAATCAATCACAAAGTACGGCTCACAGAAGTTCATTGTCCACAATCAAGCGTCTCGGAGATGCTTCAAGAATCAAGACCTGTCATAGATACTTTCAAAGTTGTTTCAGAGATGCTTTAGACATGCTTCAGTCGGGATTCCAGGTTTTGAGATTGAAAGAGCCCCCCCCCCACAAGTCTAGATCCCACAAGCCGCTATGTTTGTAAAAAGCTAGCATGAACCTGGGTACTAGTAAGACCAGCTCCATGCTGTCTATTATAGCATGAAAGAACATAGCTAGGGAGCTGGTCCTCTTGTCAGGGGCATTGTTCACTTATTCACACAATTTCGGACTCGCTTACCAGCCATGGCATCGTGATTTGGCCCATAGCCTGCCTCGTTACCGAGGGACCACATGAGAATGCATGGGTGATTCTTGTCCCGCTCGACCATCCGCACCGTTCGTTCCATCATTGCATGCAACCATTCTGGATCCCACGTTAGCTGCCGATGAGGGAATGGCCATGGTTCGGGGTCGAAGCCGTGCGTCTCAATGTTCGCTTCATCGATCATATAGAGACCCAGTAGATCACAGAGCTCATACCACCTTGGATGCATTGGGTAGTGACTGTTCCGTACCGCGTTAATGTTGTGCTGCTTCATCAAGACGATATCCTGCATGCAGGACACATGAAACCGACACGCAATGCAACACAATCCAGAACCCTCGCTTGACCAGTTAGTTAATCATGCATGGAAATTGACATATATGTCCTATGAAACCTTTTGAGACTTTTTGCGTCCGAAACCGTGGAGTGCAATCCTATCAAACACACATCAAAACACTGTTCTAGGTAAACAGACATACATAGTGACTGGAGAAAGGAGCAATGGACGAATCAAATTATCGCAATGCTGTCGCAAGAGGATCCACATCCTTTCATCCTCTTCCTTGTGTGTTCAAAAGAATCAAAACACACACAAAAAAAAAAAAAATCAATGACAACTTATGGCAACAGATCGATCGCATCGCAAAGGTTCTTAATTACACCGCTTAAAGATTCAACGAGAGTTGTCAGGAGTAATCCAGGACCAACATCCTTGTTTACTCTCCATACACCTGGTTTACTTCCCATTAGACAATAGAACAAAGAATTACATCACAACATCGGTTACACCGCCATATAAAGGCCAGTGATCACTTCTCCACGTTGTCCTGTATTATTTCTGTATGCCAGTGTATGCTGCACCTTCCGTGGCTTTGGTATGGTATCTTCAGTAGCTTTGGTATGGTATCTTCAGTAGCTTCGGTACGGTATCTTCAGACTTCAGTAGCTTTGGTACGGTATCTTCAGTAGGTTTGGTATGGTATATTCAGTAGTTTCACAGGTAATGGTGGTTTGACACTTTTTCACGCTTTGGCATTTTTCTTGCACTCATGTTTGCAGCTAGTAGCATTTTAATTCCACTGACAAAAGTCAGCTGCCATCTTGTTAAGCTCCTGACACTGTTGAAGCAGGCACAAGTAGGACTGTGGCAGTTAATAAAGCTCTGTCAATTGTAAACTGGCTTAATGTGGGTTAATGTATAGCAAATTAGCAATGTAATATTATATAGTATATAGTATATACCCAATTAATGTTGTCAAGAACTAGGAATTTTAATTTAAGTATGCTTTTAGCGTTTTAGTAGCTTTAGTGGGTAGATACTGGGTAGCTGAATATAGGTTGGAGGACCTGTATGTACCTTGACCATGCAAGCCTCCACATTCGTCTTCCCAAGCCTTGGGTGGTTTTCGTGACGATTGACTCCCCGAAGGATGACAGGTTTGCCATTTACCAGTAGCTGTTTATTGCCGACTGCCACGTTACGGAAACCAACACGACAAGCTTCATACTCCATAGGTACCCCATCTGCACCAACCAAGGAAAGAACCAATGTGTACAAATAGGGCTGTTCCTGACAGTGTGAGTCTTCTGCATATCAAATATTGAAATATCTATCGCCAAAGATCTACAACCGGGGGGGGGGTGTGGGGTTGGGGAGGGGAGGGGGGGAAAGAAAAACAGCCACAAAAAATCCGTTGTTTTTTTCCATCTGCTGAAAAATCGTGCCACGTGGCATGTACCCTGTATGCTCTCACTCTCTGTGTCCCTCGTACTTCCCTATTCTGCTTTCCCAGACCTGTTTTCCCCGCCCAATTCCTATCCATCCCCTTTTCTCTCCCATTCCTTGGCCTTTCCTTTGGCCTTCCGTCCCCTTCCCTCCCCTCCCTTGTGCTCCCTTCTCTGCACTTTGCTTGCCCTGCCCTGCCCTGCCCTGCCCTTCCATCTCCTCCCCTTTTTCTTCACCCCTTTGTCTGCTCTTTCATCCTTCCTCTTCCCTGCCCCTCTCTGCTCTTCCCTACCTTGTCCTTCCCTCTCCTTCCTTGAAGTTCGTTCCCTTTCTTCCCCCCCCCCCCCCCCCCCCCCCCCCCCC